TCGTAAGTTATTCCGGTTGATACGAGAAACGGGCAGCAGGAGACCTGGTGTTAGTGAAACTATACGTGACGAGAGTGGACAGCCTATCCACAATTTGTCAAAACGTCTGGAGCGTTGGGCTGAGCATTTTGAAAAGCATTTTAATCGGTCGGAATTGTTAGATTTCTCGCCGACCAGTAATCGCCCTGCTCCGTGGGCTGTTCCTTTGGATCTACCCTCTCGCTCAGAAGTCGAACATGAGATCGGACTGTTGAAGTTAAATAAAGCCGCGGGACCTGATGACCTTCCTCCAGCCCTTTTCAAATTCGGGGGTCCTGCTCTTTTGGATGATTTACACGAGCTATTGGTGAAGCAGTGGGAGTAGGAAACTGTCCCAACCGATTGGAGCCGCTCCGTCATAGTCCCAATTTTCAAAGGTGGCGCACGATCGGAATGCGGCAGCCATAGAGGAATCAGTGTGATCTCCATCGCCTCCAAATTGCTGGCCTCTGTCATCCTTCACAGACTGACTGGCACTCGTGAAAGCCAGATTCGTGAGGAGCAAGCTGGATTTCGTCGAGGTCGTGGCTGCATTGACCACATCTTCACCTTGCGTCAGTTGTTGGAGCACCGTCACATATATTGGCGGCCCACCGTAGTCGTGTTCCTCGACATCAAAGGTGCCTTCGATTCCGTTAATTGATGTGCCCTTTGAAAGTGTCTACTCATGAAAGGTTTGCCCGAGAAATATGTAAATATTATCCGAGCATTATACGCGCGTAGCACGGGCAGAGTGACGGCTCACGGCAAGCTGTCGCCACCCTTAAATATCTCCAGCGGTTTGAGACAAGGATGGCCGCTGTCACCTTTCCTCTTTAACTTCGCTGTTGACGAATTCATGGAAATCGCGTTCACAGGACACGACTTAGAAGGTGTGGAGCTACTCCCAGGAGAACGACTTCTTGATTTAGAGTATGCTTATGATATTGCCCTCATCTGTGACAACTCACAAACGTGCCAAGCGGCACTGGACAGATTAGCACTAGCTGTCCGTCACTTCGGGCTTTGCTTTCCACCATCGAAGTGCAAAGCGTTCCTCCAAGATTGGTCTGGACCGCCTCCTTCGCTGACCCTTGGTGGGGATCAGCTAGAAGTCGTTCAAAAATTCAACTACCTGGGAAGTTGTATCAGCGCCCGTGGGATTGAAGATGAGATCACGATCCGTATAGCAAAAGCTAGAGGCGCTTTTGTTAACCTTCGCCATTTATGGCGGCGGCGCGACATCACTCTCGCCCTGAAGGGTAGAGTGTACAATGCAGCAGTACGTTCGACCCTATTGTACGGTTGTGAAACCTGGCCGCTTAAAGCAGCGGACCTGAAGAGGCTAGTTACGTTCGACCACTGGTGCCTTCGTAATTTAGCTCACATTTGGTGGGAACACCGCGTGAGTAACGAGCGTGTTCGACGCCTTGTTTATGGCACAGGAAAAGGAACTGAACCGCTCAGCACCGTTATTTCACTCACCAGGCTCCGATGGCTCGGCCACGTGTTACGCATGCCAACCCACCGACTCCCGCAACGTGTGTTATTGGCGCGCCGGGGGTGTGGATGGAAGAAGAGGTGGGGTGGCCAAGCGATGACTTGGTCGAGAGGAATGAAGGCCCTCACTTTTGAGCTGGCCTCGGTTGAAGCGTCTCGGCTCCCTGGTTGGGGTCCGGAAGAAGATGAGCACGTTTGGCTGGATACATTTGTTGATATGGCTAGGAGCCGACCTCAGTGTCGTTCGTGCTGTGAGTTTCTTTGTCCCACCACATCCCTCTTAGCCTCCCCCTCCAACCACGATCTCCTTATTTAGCCTTATATAATTTTGCACAGTAATTATTTTTGATGCACGGTAGCCGGCTGCTAGCTTACCGGAACGATGCCCATCCGTTACCGGTATCTCAGCCAGCTTTCACCAGTTGTTTTTTTTCTCTCCTTTTTTCTTTGTATTGTGGCACAGTAGCTGATGTGTTTCCCACCTCTAGCTAACGTGTATGATGATATGATGAATGATGTGCATTCATTTGTTGGTGTTGTGCTACGCTGGCATCATTCAGCTATTTTACTTCATAATCGGCTGGCCTCTTATGCCACGTTACATCGCACCATGCCGCACCAACGGCGTGTGCCGGAAGGTTGTCCCCTCGCCTAAGTTCACTAGTACTGACGTACTGTTGTTGTTACTGATCCCCATTGGCATGGTAGGATGGCTATCACTTCCAATACAGACTCCTTAGTGAGTTGCAGTTAGTCGGCCATAAACAGATAATACAAGCCAGATATTAATGTGTCCATCCCATATAACCGTTTTAAGGATTTTTCACCTCTTGAGCCACGGATAGTCACTATGAAGATAGTAGGTTAACTTGCGTAGCGATTCCCACGCCGCTGCTTGGAAGTACCGATTGATCTGATGATGATGATCTGGCCTTTTGAGTTACATAATGTCACAATAGAACACATCAATTGCTTCGTTTTTGCTTTAGTCGCTTTTGCGTTAATGTTCATTGACCTTCACCACACGTTTCGCTCCCTCTCCTTCCTCGCACAGTCCCATTACTGTCACTCCGTATTCCACTTTGCTGTCCTTCTTCGCTCAGCGCTTTACTTTTTCTGCTATACTCTTCGTTCTCTTACAGTCACTCCATGGTGGCTTAGCAGCCCAAGCCGCCTCACACCAACGCGATTTGTCTGGCGCATTCGTGATCTTATAAGTCTTGTGCAAAGACGTCAGGCTACTTCCAGTATTTGGTTGACTTGCGTTTGTGCGAAGTAGATAATTTTGACGGATTTTGTGTGATCCGTCTCGGGGATTCACATGGTTGCTCGCCAAGCACATAACACCATGGTATCCCTGGTGACTATGTACCAGATATGTATGGCTATTGTTTTCTGCTGAAGTACTCATCATATGTTCATATGCACGAGTGGGCCATCGCTCGCATCTGATCTAGTGCGACCCTACACCGAGGGGTTCACTTGATAGATGCAAAACGCACCCACTCGTGCTCAATCCAAGTGTCTCGGCATGGAAAGTGACTTATTGCTCAATGCACGTGTATGCCGCCAAGACGTATTAATCAGAACATTCCCAACAAGTGGTCAAACGTCCAGTCATCAAAGTCTCCTCGGTTATGTAACTTAGTCGAGTATTTAGGACTATTTGGAAGACACACAGTTGATTAGCTGACAGTCGTTAGCAGTGTCGTTGATGCCACTTCATGTGTTTCAAAATTTAGCCCTGCATAATGCACACAGTGGGCTGCATATGAAAATCAATTGCAACCAATACTTCCATCTTTTCATCTGTCCCCCTTGTGCCCCTCCTGACATTCATTACCATCATCCCTTCGGTAACTCCCAGCACTATATAATGTCGGTGTAGCGCCGTTGCATTATGCCCCCGGCTTCTGTTCATTACAATGTCCTCACCAGGTCACCGCCTAACCTCTTTAATTGTGCCAGCAGTTTAGCCCATGTCTGGTGGGGACGCCGCCTGAGCAATGAGTTTGTCCGGCGTCTGCTGTTTAGTGCACGAAGAGCGAATGAATCGCTCAAAACCATTATATCACGCACCAGGCTTCGGTGGCTGGACCATGTGCTACGTATGCCAGTGCAACGACTCCCGTGACGTGTCCCTTTTGCGCGACCAAGGGGTGGATTACTTGTTCAAGAGAAATGATGAATCTCACTACGAGCTTGGCGTTGGTTGGTGTCTCCCGACTGCTCGGCGGAGGTCCGAAAGGCGATGAACATGTTTGGTCCGTAACATTTGTTGGTTTGACGGGGAGCCGGCCTCAATTGTGTTTGTGTTGCGCGTTCCTTTATCCCTCCCTCTTCCGCTTTTCTTCCTCCTCCAACCACATTCTCACACCTTACGCTTAATATGATACTGAGCATCATATTACATTTTGCATTTTGTTTTGCATTCTGAAATATTTTCTATCTCGTTTTTTTTCATTTCTTACCTTTTTGTGTTGTGGCACAGTAGCTGAGGTGTTTCTCACCATTAGCTAAAGTGTACTCATGAAGTGATGACCTACACGCACATTCAGTACCGTAGATATCCATGTGCCGGACCTCTTCGGAACTAGGATACGCAACTTCAGCGGTTATCAATCCGGCTATGCTTACTCTTCCTCCCACTACTGTTTGCAAGCGTCCAGTCACGCCGATGCAACTACCCTGCGTAGAGCTGTATTGGCGATCATTCTCATTTTCGGAGCTAAATACGCGTTGGCTGATACCCTCGAATAGCCGTCTGTGTACTGCGCATTCGATGGCGACATATGAAGCTAGCGCACGCATCAGCCGTAAACACCGTCTGTTCTCGGTTCCTACCTATTTTTCAATCGACTCCAGAAATGTCACCGTGGAAGACGCTTCTTACCATGAGCTGGTCCACTGTTGATTGACACAGGTTTGTGTAAATCGTATTTATACTTTGTGGCAAATACTAGGATATCAATGCACATACGGCTGAGTTCCACTATCCAATGAGCACAACTGATAGATGCATTCTGTTCCTTACGGCTTACCCGATGGTGTTCCTATGAGATACGTGAACACTTTGTGCCCTGTACCACCAATCACTTAAAGGCGCACCATTTCCTATTTATTTGTTACGAGCAATTTATATGATAGGCTTTACTTTTTTACACTTTTACTCACGCTGTGTTCGTTCCTATTGTTTTCCTAGGTGTTACTCTTCTCTCAACTCACCATAGTCCTTGATATCATCGAGGAACTTCTAAACGCCCGTCTATGGAATTTCGTTCGCTTGGACGGTTCCACGACATTTGCTGCTCGTCAGGAGGCTGTTATCCGTTTTAACTTTGAACCTGCGGAATCACTCCCCATTTTTCTTGTCTCCACCCGTGCCGGAGGTTGTGGCCTGAATTTGCAGGCCGCCGCGGACACTGTCATCATATTCGATTCTGACTGGAATCCACAAACAGACCTACAAGCTCAAGACCGGTATGGTTTATCGAAAGCGGCACTTACTCGTTACTTTGCGTTATTGTTCGTGTTGGTTCCGGAGGTTGCGTACTTTTTCAGAAATCACTTTAAAATGTTGGTTATCAGAACTTACGCGTTTCAGATGCCATCGCATCGGCCAACGTCATCCCGTTCTGATTGTGCGCCTAGTCACGGCGGATACTATAGACGAGACGATACTGCAAAGGGCGCACATCAAACGCGGACTTGAACGTCTGGTACTTTCGAGTGTGTCCCACTCCGAAATCTCTACTCCACCGTCACGTGAGGTGAGCGCACTGCTCCTTTGTTTGACATTCATACAACCCTGATTGACATAACGGTGTTCTGCGATTGTTAAACAGGGTCTCAGACTCAACGCTCTAAATTGTACCTGGCAGCGTTTTTCGCGTTGCTTTGCAGCCAGATAACTGGCCAACCTTCTGATGTTCCGCTGCTTACGTTGTGCACACTAAGCACACGCTGGTTCTTCATGTCAACGCCCTTATTTTGATTCTTATGACCAACCAGACACTTTTACTGGTCGTTTTACTAGATGACGTCATTTCCTCATTCTGACCTGTGTATTTAACAGTTTCATCACTGATTTAAATTGCTTCTCTTTCTGATCATATTGCATCACTCTTTATGGTGGTGAGCGCGGATGCTTTTCTGGCGGTGCTCAAATTTGGGCACTTTTGTACCTCACAAAAGTAGGGGAATTGGGTTCTACTTTCCCCTTTTATGACCCTGATTTTTTACAGGAAATGAATTCGCTTCGCATTCTAAACGTTCTGTCGGGCAACTGAATTGGGGTATAGATGACTGAACATTGCCTAAACGAGTGCCCACGATTTCCGTGGACACTTATTTTCTGTTGAGACGCGCTTTACAAATTGTTGCATTACGTTCCGGAATTCATCATTGAGTCTCCTGATACCTCAGAGTTTCCCTCTCTTATGTCGAGACGTTTTTTTTATCTCCGCTGAACTTTGTACGTTTTACAATGAGCCACTCATCGTAATAACTAAGCAAAGTGGATAACAGAGTTGCTGGAACCGGTTCGAAAAGAGTTGTCGATTCATACGGTCAAAGACACGTTTGATTTTGTCAACCGAATAGAAAACCTAAACGTGAAGGATAAATTTATGCTTTCGTTTGACGTAGAATCAATTTTCACGAACGTGCCGTTGGTAGAGGCTGTGACATTCATTTGTGCTTTCATCACTGAGAGAAACATTGATATTGGAATTCCGGTGAATAAATTAAAAGAATTGATTCTGCGTTGCACCTTCAACGTACAATTTCTGTTTGATGGAATCTATTATAGACAGATAGATGGAGTCACAATGGGTTCTCCCCTAGGCCCACTTTTGGCCGACATCTTCCTTTCAAAGCTTGAAAGTGGAGACCTGAACACCCTTATATCTTCATTTGATTTATACTACCGTTACATAGACGTCACTTTCATTGTATGTGACTTCCATCGATTACCTAACCCTATTAGATCAGTTTAACAGAGTGCATCCATCATTAAAATTCACCAGTGAAGTTGAGCAAGATGGCCGCTTGGCGTTCTTAGACGTTCTATTGCATCGGCGTGAAAACGGGACTATCAAAAGGAGTGTATTTCGCAAAGCGACGTGGGTAGGTCAATACACCCACTTTCTTAGCTTTGTACCACTGAGATACAAGCGGAATTTAGTCCGTTGCTTATACCATCGTGCCAGAGCAATCTGCAGTCCAGAGACGCTTGAAAGCGAAACCAAATTCATCTTTAATACGCTACAAGAAAATGGATACCCCGTACCTTTCATCGAAAAGCATTCCAAACAGCTTGAGGCTGTCAAATGTGTCGCTACAGTTCCCAAAAAGGATGTATTCCTTACAGTTCCTTTTAAAGGTGACGTCGCGTTTGAACTATTGAATAGAAAAATCTCGACCGCAGTGACCAAGACATTTCCAGCCGCCAATCTAAAACTAATTGCCGAAACAAGACCATTGATTCTTCAGCGCTTAAAGGATAAACTCCCGGTTCGGTCCGAATCGTTTGTCTTATACCAGTTCACTTGCACCTGTGGTGCTAGGTATCTTGGATATACGACCAGATGTTTGTCCAAAAGAATCGCTGAGCATTGTCCTGCGTCACTACGAAAAGGCACGGTAAAATCCATCAACAGTTCCGTATTACAACACTTGGTCGACACTGGACACCAAGTCCAGATAAACCAGTCGTTTCGAGTCGTTTATACTATCCCTAAACGATACCCAAAACAGCTTAAGAAACATTTGTTGAGCATTTCTGAAGCCATTGCTATCAAAGTTCTAAAACCAGAGTTGTGCAAACAGCGCACACTGCTACAGGCTCTGAAATTGCCTTGGCCTTGAACTTGACCTTCCTTGATCACCTGCTTCCTAATGCGACAATCCGATTGATCAAATCATTGATTTAGTTTCCATATTGCCCAGTTAATGAGTTGATTGCTCTCTGTACAGGCCTCTACGGGCTTTATTCTCTCCAAACGTTTTGCTTCATAATTATACTCGCTTGATGAGAATTATCGAAAAGAATATTCTTCGCGCATTTGCTTACTTCTAACAATGAAATGATTGATCTAGACAATTACATTGCCTACATCGGTACACGGCTATCTGTATTCCACAACCATATTCACTATCTTTCAATTTTGATACCTTCACGTGTGGAGTGAAGTACTTGTTCTACGCAGCATCTTGTCCCTGGCCAAGCTTTGGTTCTTATTTGCGATTGTATGTCAATACTTGCGAATTCTCTCTTGGTACCTCTACTTTCAGTCCTCTTCTCCTTCGCTTCGATGGAAACGACTACGCAACTATCTACACGACCCACAGAACACGGCACTTGGTCTGTCAAGTGTGGAAATTGAACGCTTACTTTGTGGCAAGGACTACGATAAGGAGGTGACTCAGGTGGAACACATTTCGGACGATGCATTGCACAGCCTTTTGAATCGGTAAGTGTACAGATGTTTTTACTATTCGGCACATCTGCTGCGATCCGACATCAGAGTTGCGCTGCAACCGTTGTTAGAACACAGACCTACGAAACAGCGTCTGTTTCAACCTGTTCATTTTTTCAAAGTATTTCGTTCATTACCGGCCCAACAATCATTCCCGGTCATCCGCTTATTCCTCCACCCAGGTCACAATTGAGATTTTCCCTGTACTCTACTAGTTTCTACTGGGACTGGTTTTTCAGTTTACTGCATCCCAAGCAACTAACACTACAGAGCAGATAAATTGGTTTATGTAGACGGATTACCATCCATCCACCTATACTTGGGCAAGTATCACAAACTAGTGCCTAACGGACCTGGAACATGCTTCCGGTAGCTACAAGGTGGTGGGATGATCACACCAGCCACCGACGTTAACCCGACACTTGAATATACCTTTTTACCGAATCCCTCCTTACGGCAATCAATGCGAAATCGTTAAACCCACGGTGCGTTCTTGTTTCCTGTCAAAATGAAAGCGTTAGCTCCCCATTTGAAAGAGTTGTTGTGTGTGGACGCAGCGCCATTTCTTGTGATGCGCCCAGGAATATGTTATCGTTGCCGTTGAATGTACGGCTAACCTGCTGCTACCGCGCAGCTGACCATCGCCAGAAATCTGTTGTGGATTCCGTTGACTTGACGGATAACGTGTCTGAATCTGCTGTGTCGCCCCCAATCAGTGCAATCCCGCAACCAAGTGAGAATGCCAAAAAACAGTCGGACCGAGGGATTCCGATTCTGATTCTATGGTATGAGAGCATGGCGCAATAAATAAGTTGTAGGAAACCACTAATACAACAAAATTAGAGACGCTAATTAATATTAATTACTACAAATCGAAAGGTTCAAATTCATGATCCGACTTGCTGTTGATTCCACATAGATTCGCATTTTGGTCTTTTGATCTCATTGTAGATCGATCCACTGTTGCGCCACTGCTCTCGGCTTGTGCACTGGCTCTCCGTAACACTAGTTACGGAGAGCCAGTGCACTCGCTACACTCCAGACTGGCAAGCGAATCGAATTCAGCACCATACCATACCACTTTAGGCATATATATCCCAGAGCGAAGAGTAAAACTCCGACCCACTATTCTATATCACGCATTCGTCTCTTTTCAGTTCTGACTTGTACATGGAATGGGAACGATTGAAATCTGGCGAATCTTCGCGCAACACCATACTCTGCGAGCCTGACCTTGATTATGAATCCAACGATGTGGAGCATTGCGGTCCACCAACGGTACCTCCTTCATCCAAGTTCGATCCCTCGAATCTGTCCCCTTTGCCATCCTCTTGTCGAAATTCGAAACGACGCATGACAGACTATTCCGGTTTGTTGCAATCCCCCTCACTGAACCTCACCAATTCTGCACCCTTGTCGGGGAATCATGTAGAGTGTACCACCACTTACAACAAGGATCTCCAGCCGTTTCTTTCGTTACCCGATTCGCAGACTGACTTCGGTTGGTCCCCCGAACCATGATTGTTTTACTCGTTCCGCAGCTACGCGATTGAACCTGATGTTTTGGCTACCGTTCTCTGCGTTCATCTTGTCTCTTTCACTTTTGTACGTTTTGTAGCGTTATTGGGCGATTGTTTTTGGCTCTATTTTTCTAAACAAACACATTATATTTTGATTGCGGTTTTGTCCGGGGTATTCTGTTCGGTTCGGTTACATCACTACGATCCAGATACCGAAGTGTATTGGGTCCAATTACCACGAATTGTGTCGTCAAAATGGCAATAACTAATAAGCGTGAGGACTCTGAGAAAGAACACAATGAGCATACAAGAAAAAATGTTGAAAAAAGCGGGTCAGGTTGGTCGGAACGAAATACTCTAGCACCTAGATACTAGAAACCGATTGATATAGTCCCCAGCCACTGATGTGGACCGTCCCGAGGTCCCCATCCACGAAGACGACACGCACCAGCATTACCAAGTCTCTCGGTTAGCATTTTCATAACTTTATGCCGCCTCATCGACTGTCCACCTCCGGGGTTCGCCCAACTTGGTGCAATCACAGCGCACGGTGCACGCCAAAGAAGCCGGTCAACTTGCATATGAAGGATATAACGTACCCAACGCAAGCGGTTATGATAGTGATCCTAAGCAAACACTAGATTGATGCACCGGAGGGCTTGCCTATAACAAATTGGCGGACCTTAACATTGCTCACCCGGTATTCCCACCAGATGTGATCACTACTCCAAATGCGCCGGTGATTGGAACTGGCCAGGTCTCTGATCCATACAGTAACAACGGCTTTATTGTAGCGTTGCACGGGCTGACTTCCCCCCATCCCCATATATGACTGGAATTTTGGGAGGTCATATGGGCTTTGCTGATTCATGGAATACATTCCTCATAGATATGATCACCAGCAGTGACAAAACTATCGAGCTAAGTGGGCCGATAGACACCTAGTGCTTGCTTGCTGATACCAAGAACCGGTGGCTGGTGGACCCAGTCCTGCAACAATACTTCACACTTGGATGATGCAAAGTATATGCCGAAATGTGCAGCACTTCGTGTCAATCTGTTCAGCAGTGCATGCATAGCCGCCGTGTCCGACCCAAGGTGGGTTATGTCGTCCGCATGCTCAAGCTGTCAGATGGTCACTTGACCAAGCTCCTATTCTAGATAAAGTCTTAAGGATAGAGTCCTTTATGATCATTGCGATCACGAACTTAAGGAGGAAAGGTGGTACAGGGCAACTCTAGCGAACTTCTTTTGTCATGGGGAACTCAGGAAACAGCCTTTTTACAAGCCTTTACTTGACCCAGCGTAGTCACTGTCTTGGGATTTTCAAATGTACGGAAGTTTCTCTGGCACACAGTTCACTGACGGGCAATGTTATAAGTTAGCATGATCGACAGAGTCCAAAGTAAGTTTAACTTACAGTGAGTCGGCAATAATTTACCATATGTATACGTCTCTGATCCGATTTGACGGAGTAAATTCTACGACCAATACAGCCTCGACAGGAATGAATCCTAGTCTAGGTGCGAGCTGCTGATAGAGTTCGTCGTTGATAGCCTCCGGACCGCAGTTGGTTAACACATTCACCGACACGATGAAGGGGCAATTTGCCTATGGGGGCCCGAATTCTAACCACATACATGCAGATGTTTTGCGGTATGTGGTCTAGTAGGTTAATTTTAGTATAAGTAAAATATCGATTTCATACATATCTTGAGCCACCGGCTTGGTAACACCAGACATTTGAAAAGCACGTAGGATGAATGAAAGGTTTCTAACTTCAAGACAACCGAGCGTGGTGCAGATTCTTCGATGCTTTTATTTTTCAGGCGCGACACACTTGTTCCAGTGGAAAAGAACTCTAGGTTTTGACTATAAAAACGCTTCTACGGCTTCAATGCCGTCCCTGTCATTGAGAAAATGTTTGCCTGCTAAACCTTTTTTCAAATTTTGAAATAGATGGAAGTTAGAGGCAGCCTTATCTGGTGGATAGGGTGGGTGAGGGAGAGACTCGAGTCCGCAACCATTGTAGCAGAACGATGCGGCAATGGAACGCAATCATTATTGACGCGATAGCAGGCAATTAACCCACTCGCCCAGGGACGCCGATGTGGGTCATGTTTCCTTCCCACGACGCGCCACTTTTTCCTGAATCCCCTCGCGACACATCTATGCACCAACGCAGATTGCGCCATTGCATAACCCTTCATGTTTCACCCGTATCTCCGCTTCTATCCGCCTCGTTCTAGTCGGCTCGGATTCGTTCGATAGCTCTTGATTTGCTCAATCGGTGCCGCGTCGCTCTTCTTGGTGTTATTCTTGAGGGGCTATCTCCGGAAAATCTGGCTCTCGCTCTTCTCTGCGTGTGTCCGATATTATTTGTCGCTGGTGAGCCATTCTTGGCTCGTTTCTTAATCGTCGAGCTGCTCTGCCGCTTTTCGTCCCCGGTGCCAGCGTTAGTCTCCCTCTTCTTTTGTTTCCGTTGCTTTTTCACCTTGCCTGCAACTCTTGACTTCCGCACCACTACATCATGGATTGTTTTCTGAGCAATGGAAGAGGTGTGAGTTAGAGCGTTGTCACTGTGGAAAATGACTGCACTCATCAGCGTTTCTGACCTCTCTCGGATTTTTTGTCGGACGTTTCAGAAGCTCACGGTACTACTTTCTGATGATGGTGTGACCTCTTTCAAGGAAAGCTCTCATCATCACACCTCGGGAATCCCAAAAGGCAGATTCCATCACCTTACCAGCTGACAGCGTAACCTTAGCCTTTTTTGCCGTAGGAGATAATGCACACTTCCACTGCTTTGACTGTTCATTCCTTCCTGGTTGAAAGTGGTGAACCCAACGTTCATCCATCGTGATGAATCTTGCAAGAAAGTTATTGGTCTCAGCCTCAAACAGTTCCAACGTGTTTTTTGACTTTACATGCCGAATGTGCTTCTGCGCAGGAGTCAGAAGACGTGACACTCTGCGAGCAGAAACTTTTGAGTAGCCTAGCTCCTTTGTCAGCATATTATCTGCTCGCTCCTGGGAGATGCCCAACCTCTCTGCTACCTGACAAGTTGTTAATCTGGGATCTTGCATAATCGTATCCACTACTAGGTCAAGATTTTCTTTGGTGATAGCTGTTGTTGATCTTCCTGATCTGGGTTCATCTTCCATACACTTCTGCACTTGAATCCTTGCGCGCAACGTATAACTGTGGTATATGAAGAGGGCATTGTCGTGCAATGTATTCAGCATACAGTGGTGGATTTCAGATGGTGACAGTTCTTTTTGATGTAAATACTTGATCACTTTACGATGCTCCATTTCCACTAAGTTGTAGACCCTGTCAAATCCAATACTCTGAAATGCAGGTAAAGGGGTAGCAATATGCTTTTGTATAATATGCATACGGAAAAGCGCTAGATTATGAAGAAAAACTTTATTTGACTTGCCTGGCTATCAGATTTCTGTGCCAGGCTCGACACTTCATTCACTATCGATAGATTCGGAACTAGGGAGTCGATGATTCTTTGTGACATCGTTACTTCGTGCGCGTGAGATTTAGTATTGCCTATCGATCGACCTAACCCAGAATACGAACATTGAAGGAACCAATCTGAAACGAAACCAATGATCCGAGGGGTGGGTTAGACTTATCGCGAACATCATTTAGCTGGCCAGTAAGTCTCTTGATCGATAGAAAGAGGAAGAAAGTTACAAAGGGAGAGGAGACCAACAGGAAGAAATAGCATTTGTCATGGGTTATAGAATACTGATGCTACTCTCCGACCACCCCTTCAGACTGACGGTTTTTGCCTTATGTGCTTTACTTTGATTCAACCGTCGGAGCTGCTGATAACGAAAAATCAGTCGGCCGAGCTAGCACGTAGACGGCTGTGTGGACCGGTAAACAAGCAAAATCCCTCGTTGCAATCTGATGGGGGTGTGGTATTTTCAGCTTCAGTGCTAAATTCCACAAGTGATTCGGTATCAAACCCTCAAAACCGTTGTGGTTTCCGCCGTCACAATGCATCTTTCAGTTTCAATATGTCAATGAGATTAAGCTGAAACAAATTGGAATGCCAGAATGCGCGATGCTTTCAACAATCATATGTCCATACTAGCCTCATATAGGTCCTCTATTCTGGCTAACTAAGGGTGCGATATCGGCGCTGTTGAGGAAATGTGATTTGGGAGAGGACTTCCAGTGCTCCTGCGTTTCCATAACCATACTATGAGTTTGAGCGCCTAATTAGTTGAGGGTGTGGATATCGTTTTCAAATCCCTCTGGATGCATTTGTAACTATGAGTGCTATGCATTTCTTGCGTTTGAGTAGCGGTGCTGCATAAAATTCGGAAGCCAAAACAGTCGCTCTCAGCATTTGGCAATAGTGAGACACCAGCTGCGTTAAGCTGGCCCGCGTACTCTGTGAGTAGTTTCGTGTCCATCGTTATCAGTTATTACAGTCAGCTAGCAGGCCCCAACCTAAATATAAGGACCAAAACTTTCGAAAATTTAAGCAACGTATCGACCACCGAGAAAACCAACGAGACTATGCAATTCAACAATTAACAGAGATTCAAACGGGATTCGTCGCGACTATACATCCGGGAAAGCATTAAACCCACAGCAAACGGACAGAGTGCGCACGTCTGGTGACTCCTGGAAGAATAAAACTGTCATCCATTGAGTTCCCAAAGGTGCCGTGGTTTTCTGACTGTGTATGGGAATAACGGGTGTCCTTTGGTATTTAATCCGAACCCGTCCTTATACTACTCCTATCAGAAAATAGAGTGATGATTGAAATACGATTCTCAATCGAATATCGTTATGTTCAAGTTAAGTCAAGAACGCGCTTTATGAACTTTCGGCTGCGATACGTCATCTAAAAGACAAGGAAGTACAAAAGCGCGGTAACGGAAACAAGGAGTTAACGTGTACACGCACGGCCTCACTGAAGACATCTGCTAGTTACTTTCTGGATAACGGCGTTTACGTCAAGCGAAAACCTGCCTATAAAAAGAATGTCAAATTTACCGTAGGCCTGCGTGCGGTC